ACAACTATTTTTCGGAAGTATTAAAGAAAATAAACTTTAACTTTAAATTTATAAAGCTAATTAGAACCTTATTTACTAACCAAGAGGCATATATTACAATTGCAAACAAGATATCTGCCCTTTTTAAAGTTGAAAAAAAGTGTACCAAGATGATCCTCTCTTACCTTTCTTATACATTTTGGTCTTCAATCTTTTGTTACAAAAACTGAACAGAGAACTTATAGAAATTCAGTTAGAAGATATAGCCTTCAAAGCTTTAGCTTATACAGATGATTTCATATTGAGAATTGGTTTCAAAATAGATTAGAACATTATTAAAAAAAATTTTACTCTATATGAAAAAGTCTCAAATACAAAAATTAACTAAAACAAATCTAAATTAATTTCACTTATAAATACAGCTTTAAGTCTTGAACTAGTAAGTAGAAAAAACCTTAAAACAATATTAGAACAAGAAGCTATTACTATTCTAAGCTATGAAGTCTATTTTAATAATTTTTTAAAAAGAGATCTTTAGTCTTCTATAATTAATAAACTTAAAAATTTTTTCAAAAAGCTGGTAAGCAGAATCTTTTGTTTAAAGTAAAATTCTTTTAACAAACTTATTGATTTTGTTTTAAATCTGATATATAGTATAACTTATTTTCTTTAAGCAAAAAGCATATTACAGAAATCAATAGTATAATATCTCTATAGATTAAAAATAAATCTAAAATATTTCTAAAATTTGTAATATTTCAATAAGCATACAATGTTGTAAAATTGTAAGCTCCAATAATAGAAAAAATGCTTGAGGCATAACTATTTTCTATATAACTAAAATTATTTTTAGAAAACTCTTTCTGAATTAGACTAGAAAGAAAAAATAAGTAATATATTAGAACTTAAAAGAAATATATTAGTATATATTACCTTAAATACTAAGATTATCAAAACCAAAGTTTGATCCAAAGAATAAAAACCTTATCTGTTTGTTTAGAAAAAAACTTAAGACAAAATAAATATTGTCTTTAATTAGTTGTAAAGCAAGAAAGATTTATGTTTAAGAGATTTCAAAAAACTGAATTCTCAATTAAGAAAATTTTAAATTTTTAGAAAACTTTACATTTATTTAACAATACTATCTAGTCTTAAACACCTATAACAAATAATAACTAGTTTTTTGTTGTATCAATAAATAACAAAAAATGACATATTTTGGAGAATATATTACAAAGTATTACTTTTAGATTATTATCTAAAATATATAAACTTTCAATCAACAAAAATTGTTCATAATATTTAGATGAATAACAAATAATAGATTATTTTGCTATTCATTATAAGGCCAGTAAAGAGATCTGAAATAAAACATACATCTTTTTACAAATAGGCATACAAGAAATATCTTATTTTTCAATTAAAGAAATATTTAATACTAGTAACATTAAAGATTAACACTATTTATAATGATTTTTTGACTGCATATTAATATAATATATAAAATTTAGTATTGTTATACAACAACAAAATAGAGAAACAACATATATACATCTACAATAATTCTCTTTATAGTAGCTAAGTGTTTAGCTAATAAAATTAGAGTATTGTTCAAAAATATTAATAATAATCCAAAGAAAACTAAACTTTTTAAATGCTTAAAAAAACTGTAAATATTCTTGTATATTAGCAATAATTAATAATAAAAGATGTCATCTATGTTTTTAAACAGTTAACTTAAAAAAAAAAATTTTATATAAATATAAGCAAATATGACTATAGCAAAGGTGACTAAAAAAGGTTTAACTATATATAATATCTTAAATTATTATACTGTTTTTATAGTAATATATTAAAAAAAATAATAATATTTATTTATTTTAAACTTAAACCTGTTTGCTTTTTATAAACTTATATATTTATTAAATAAGTTTACTAAAACACACCAATAGTATTTAATATTGCAACTGCTATATTTCAAAATCTAGCTAATAATCAATGTTTAATAATTTTTAAAATTCTTTTAACAACAATTTAATTTATATACGTAATAACTTTAATACAATATTGTTCTAACCTTCTAATTTTAATAATAAAGTTATTATAAAAACGTATACGTATAGTATTAAGTGCACAGTGTTATTATTTATACAGTATTAAATATTGAGATTTTTCATATTGTAAAAAATTGTTTAATTATTTAAAAAATATATAAGTCTATTAAAAACTGTATATTTTATCGCTATCAAAAAATATACATATATACCAAGTTTGCTAAATTAGTTTAAATTTGTTTAACAAAATAACGAATTGATGTATACAACAAATTAATATTTTTGATTATAATTAGTTTAACAACGAAAAAAAATTATATTGTTTAACAAAATAACGAATCGATGTACATACACAGCAAATTAATTAATTATTTTTTATTTTTGACTATAATTAGTTTAAGCGAGAATTATATTGTTAAACAAAATAATATTTCGGTGTATATATGTATACAACAAATTAATGATATAAAATTTTATTATACGTAATTTGTCCATAAAACATATCAATATAGCCCACTTAAAAAAACATTGACATACAAAAATAACAAAACTTATACCAATTATATTAATACCAATACGAAAATGCAATCTAAAAAATACCAATGAATAAAATTCATATAACTAAGCTACGGAGTTTTTTTTATCAAGTTAGATGCAAATAATTAATAATACATAAAAATCTGTACGTATTACGGCGGAGTTATTATTATTATGATTAAACCAATTAATAAGGGATCTAGAATCTTAGTAATTTCTAACATACATTAATATCGATATATACTATGCATTGTACTGTATTAAAAGTTTAGATTAATTTTTTTTTTTTTTTTTTTTTAACCGCATTTTTAGCTTCAGGATGGAATAAAATTCCATGTAACGTTACATGATCTACGCGACATTACGTAAACCGAACATAGCCGATAACCACAAGAAGACCATGGCTTAGAATAATTAATAATAGTATAGTCGCTATATTTAAATTTTAAATTGATTTTTTTAATCTTAGTTAAACCATAGAATTTACTTAAACATTTGTTAGCTTTTTTTTTTAAACAATATCTGTAAACAACCGCATATATACACATAATCCTTATAAGATGATAAAAAGAAAAATATAATAATCATTCTTAATGTTCTTAATAATAGGGAACCCATTCATGGAAAGCATTAAAATGATGAAACCGTCACACGATTGTTTGATCGACAGGTAATTCGTCACATAATAATCAATAACAACAGGAGTCAATGGACGTTCGAAACTTGGTTACGTCCAATTGATGAATAAGGTTCATCACATGAAACGAAATAACATAGCTAGTCGACCAAAAGAAGTCCAAAAGCATATCAATTGAGACTAAAACGTGCATTTTTGTTTACATGTATATAAAGAACAATGACGGTTGTAGAAAAGCAAGGAACCAAAAAAGGAATTCCCGTTGAAGATCAAAGAAGATGTCATATTGCGTTGATTAGCCATTTTTCAATTATTATGTTCTTTTTCTTAGTAATCTCACTATATTATGCTATATAGTTATGTTTATATAAATAAGTGGAACGTCCAGAAAAGTAAGTTTTTTAGGCATATGACCAATTAACCGTGATACGAACGTATTTATTACTGTTACATACTCATGTGATATAATAAATTATGGATATATGTCGTATGTATATCTAAAGGTTTTGTGTAATTTTAATAATAACGATAATAACGATAACTATAGGTTTATCTGATATCAGTTATCGTTATTACACACTGCATATATATAATTAACGCTAATGCTAATTTTTATAAAAAATTTTTTTTTGCATTAGTCATTTTTTTTATAATCATTGTTTGTCTAATAAATCTTAGAATTGGTAACTATTAATAAATATTATATATATTATGTATATGTATTATTATCATGTATTATTATTATTATGCTCACTGAGATTTATACGTATCAGTATGCTAATGTATATATATATTTTATCTATATGCTAATTAAACTGTTATCTACATTTTTAAATTAATATAAAAAAGATACACACACTTTCAGTTTCCTAAAATAGTCACATTAGGTATATATTAAGGTAGTAAGGGCGTTAACTTAAAGGTTAACTTACATTCAACTTTTCCTCTCAACTATTTTTCCACTATAAATATCACATTAAAATTTTGATTCTTCCGAATTTCTCCTTCACAAAAAAAGGTAATTTATTTTTCTTCACTGTTACTGCTATTGCCGTAATAAATACCTGTTTTTGATTGTAAATCACTTCGTCCTCCATCCATTATCCCAGTAAACATCAAGGATTTGTCTTTGGTATTCCGACCTATCGCCAGCGTGAAACTTGTGTCTCCTGAATTTTTCTACTCTTACAGTCTTATAGACTTGGTATTATTATTATATATTTTCTCGATTAATATTTTCACATTTATGTTTTAGAAAAAAATTTTTTTCTAAAATATTTCATATTTGGTCGTCCTAGATTTTACATAAAATATTATCTTCGCCCCTATATATTCCTTGTTAATTGTTTTAGAATTATATAAATCACATGTCAGTCAGGTATCGTATCCTTTTTTTTTTTTGTTAAATCATTTTTTTTACTTTTTTTCAAACATTCTCTACGTACACGTATATACATATATATATATACGTTATATATTATATATATTTATTATATATATTTATTATATATTATATATATTATATATATTATATATATTATATATATTTATGTATATATATATATATATGTGTGTATATATATATGTATATATATATATACGATTTTTTTTCTTTGATTTCATTTTTTATCAAATGTTAATTGTACTCTTCACGATACATCCACTTAATTTCATTTTATAAAATTGTCATTATTATTTTTTTTTTTATTCATCTGTCTTCGTTCACTCATGCCATTTATTAGAGTTTAAGTAATTCCTTCGAATTCCGTTTCAATTTTCAACTTTAAATAAATATGTCAAAAGAAAACCACGTAAATAATCCAGATATCACTGAAGATACAAGTAGTGTCATTCGTGATGATTCCGATGCGATCGCAAAATCCGATTCTGAGAGTGCCGCAAATGTTGTTACCACTTCATCTACATCTGTTACAACTTCTTCAAATGACATCTCAACCCCTATCACCTCTACTTCTCAACAAACTCCTCCCAAAGCCCCAAAACAACCTTCTTCACAGAAACCTATAAGGAAAACAAGGACTTCCAAAGCGGTTAGTACCGCTGAAAATTCATCTAATTCTTCAGTTGATAAAGTAGATTCCATCTCCGCTCCTCCTATAAATATACCAAATTCTACCGTCCCTGCTTTCGATATCTCATCCGGTCAATCTGCTAATATTTCTCGTCGTCATTTACCACAAAAAGACGTGACTCAGGCAAACATTGCTAATCGTTATGTCGAGTTCATTTTATATTGCAATCCTTCCGCTCCATCTGATTTAGACGTGACATCACTTATTCGTTCTTTTAATGCTGTACCTAAATCTGATGGTAAAACTTTTGAAACTTGGGTCCTTTTCCAACTTGTTTCTAAACATCATTCAGGTGAAATAAAAACTTGGACTAAATTGGCTCAGCAACTTGGCGTTGAGCGTACAAGCGGATCAAGTCCTCAAAAAATTCAACAATATGCTGTAAGGCTAAAAGTATGTCTTTTTATTTTTCATTCTTATTTATCATTGGCTTCACAAAATATGTATTCCCCTCCCAAAAAAAAACTGTTTGCTATCGTATGTCTTTGACAATAGGATATTATTTTATACGTAGCACAAATCACATGATCAGCAAAAATTTTATCACACGCGTCTGTATGGCTATAAATAAAAAAATGTTGATTAATTATTTGTGTTATAAATTATATATAAATATATATATACATATATATATATTTATTTATTTATATTTATTTTATCTATAGAAATGGATGCGTTCCATTCATATTGACGCCTTTTTCGATTATATTTTATCGAAACCAAATGAATATTACGAAGATCCACAAAAAAATCCAACCGGTATCGACCCTACTGATGGAACTGATGATGATGATAGTGATTTAGTATTAAAATTAATAAAAAGAGCAAGTAGTAAACGACAAAAAAGAAAATATACTCGTCGTAATACTGGTAGTAGTATTGATGTTGGTGATAACATAAATGATGATAATATTGACAATGATGATGACTTGGACATTGACGATGCAGATTCTTCCAGGCAAAATGATCGTGCTGAAAAGCGCCTCAAAGCTACTTATTCCGATGCGAGTGATGAACTCGAAGATGACGATGAGAGAGATGCTTGGGAAGATGACGCTGATAATATGCAAGTTGATAACTCTAATAAGTCTGGTAAGGCTGATGACGATGGTAAATCGAAATCTTCTCGTAGGAAAAGTGTTGTACAGGTAGGCATTGTTCCAAAATAATTTATATTATACTCCGCTAGTAAAAATTTTACTAGTAAAGATTTCCTTCTCTATAAAAGTCTTTTTTTTCATGTCATTATTATTATTATTATCTTCAATATCTATCACAGTTTACCTCTCGTGAGAATCGACCGAAACTTGTTAGACCGAAAAATGGTATGACTTCTCGTCATATTCCAACTCCAAATCCTTCGCCAACCGATATAAGGCATCATCCTAATTCTTCTGGTGGTGATACAAGTAATTTTCGTGTAATATCTAATTCTGGTACTTCTGGTAATACTGCTACTCAATTACGGTGGCGAAGTATTTCTGTTGGTGGTGGTCCTATATCATCTCAATCTGGTGAAATTTCTCCATCTCAATCAATTCTACCGACTACATCTTCAACTTCTCCAACTCATAAAGGTAACTCTACTTCAAGACGGAAACAAAGTCTTGATGCTTCAGTAATGGGTTTCGACACTTTTCGAATTTCAAAAAAACGTGGTCAACAAAAACAGGAAAGACCACAATCTCCAACAAGTTCTAATTGGCCATGGTCTTCACAAAATATTCATGGTGGTCAAGATAACAGCAATAATGGTTTTCCTTATTCTGAGCTTCTTTTACCGCCAACTACAACAAGTGATCCTAAAGAAACTATCATTTTACTTCAAGAAAAATTAGTTAAAGCTGTTGGAATGTTGGAAGATAATCAACGTAAGATTGATATGTTGGAAAATGTTGTTCGCCAAAGAGAAGATGAGGTTAGGAAAAGAGTCGTTAGAGGTCTTAAAGAAGAAGTTATTACTTTGTTTCAAAGATACGAATAATTTAATTATGGTTTGTTTTTTGAGGGTTTTATTTGTATGTTTGAAAAGTGCCAAGTGTTTTGTATATGTATATTTTGCTTTTGAAGACAATTATTAAAAGTATATTACGTATTACTTTTTGGATTTAAGTATAGATTTGGCTTTTAAATTCCATTTGATATTCCATTTGATTTATTCTTGTGATCACTTTTTTAAAAAAATGTTTCTTATAACTTTGTCATGATACTTGATATTTACAATTGTTTTATCAATATTGTAAAATTACCTTACCCTATAGTTACCAGCCAATTCTTAAATCACTATAAACATAATTCCCTGATTAAAAATTAATTTATAGATGTTCTCAATATATTCTGGGACAATTGATAAAATTTTGATCAGCCGAATTCGACAAGTTTTTGAATTCGATGTTATTGGGATTGAATTTTCGGCATTATAGTAGTCCGATAACACCGAATTCAAAAACTTATCAAATTCGGCCAATCAATTTCTATGAGAACAACTATAATAATGAATTTATAATTGTTTATCATATATCGCGTGAAGTAAATAATTCAATATTCTGAATTGAATTTTTATCCCATGTCCCTCACAAAGTCGCGATATATGAATGCTGACGCAGCGCTTATATCACGGAATGGAATTAGTTTAGCCAATTAAAAACCTGTACAGTAAACTACTATGTTTAATCGACTAATCTTCCAAGTTTATCATTTATTCATGAAAAACTTTATTGATGACATATATTATATGTGATTACATATCATATATATATGTTGCCACCAGATTTTCAAGGGCTAAATTTGATAAATGATAAAATCGAAAGCCCGAAGTTTCATTTCCCTCACAATATGCATCTATGTAACCCTCACTCAGGGAATATGATTTACTGTGTTTCACAGAGCACAAAATTTTTCTTAAAGTTAACCATAGAAATTCATCTTTAATCACCACGGAATACTACAGAAAATAAACCCTAGCTCATCATCAAACCTTGTCACCAGATTTTCAATTGTGATCGGCTGAAGCGTCAATCAAAACCGAAATTCCTCAGTTTCACCAGTCTAAATTTCAAAATCACGTGTAACGCAAAAAGATACGCGAAAAATCAAAACGCTTGTAGCTTAAATTTTGCCTATGAAACCAGATGTCTTAACGTTATCAACCTAAAAAATTTCGGTAAAAAAAAAAAATCATTGTTATATTAGAATTAGATTTCGCTATTGATTAGGTTAGGAAAAAACCTATAATAATATCAAATTTTTATTTTAAAAAAAGGAAATGCTTATCCTAATGCACAAAAAGCAGTTTCATAAATGGATACGAACGATTTTTGGATTATTTCGATTTTTTGTTTCTTTTTGCGTTTAATTAATATCTACATGTTAACAAGTTGACAAAAAATTTTTCTTCCAAAATTTTGTTATAACCACCCACAGCCTTCTAACGATAACGCCCTATCCTAACCTAAAAACGTTAGTTGTTAATGGGTTGAACTAGGTTAATTAAATTTTCAACCCGCTCCATTAAATTAAAACCTCGCTTCAAACTCTACTCCGAACTACTCCAGACCTACACTAGGTTGCACCTTTTTTTTTAAACCTACTCCGATGCGATGTGGCTCTGGTGCATGCCACTATATTAACAACCTAAACAACGCGAAATTTTAATTTCAGAATTTATAATTTTCGATCATGTTATGTTACACCTGATCTAGAAATATGATTGGTTAGCGCTAAATATTGTTCACGAGATTGTATAATAAATCGTGTGAAAAAATTCAAATGCGTCTTTACTTAAAACGATGACTTCAAGAGTCTTAATTTATGGTGGTTCTGGAGGATTAGGATCCGCATTAGTTTCCTTTTTTAAAAATAAAAAATGGGTAAATATTTACCATAATATCTGGAAATCTTTAAATCTTATTCTTTCTCATTTTTACCTTAATCCTTTAGGTGGTTACTTCTGTTGGTACTCGTCAAAATTCCGACGCAACTCATAATATCATTATATCTGTTGATGATTCTCTGGAAATTCAAGGCGAAAAGGTTTTAAAACAAAGCAACGAACAGCTGAAAGCAGATAATGCCGAAAAATACGATGCAATTTTGTGCGTAGCTGGCGGCTTTGTTATGGGAAATTTACTTGACAAAGGTTAATGTGGAATACATGATTTTCGGATGCAGATGTTAAACCTAAAATTGTATCTAAAAGAAATTCTAAATATAATAGAATTTTTGAAAAAGTCTGACTTGATGATCAGAAAGTCTCTTTATTCATCGCTAGTCGCGTCACAATTAGCAGCTCATCATTTGAAAGAGTAAGACGTTATTATTTCCTTTCACATAATATTACATAATTAGCAATCTAACATTATTTCAAACAGAGATGGTTTCCTGATGCTAACGGGTACTGCAGGATTGCAAGGCACACCTGGTAACCAAATAATCAATTTTAAACTAGGTGTATTAACTATTCTTACATTCATTCAATCGATTCATTGTTTTACTTGGATCTAGGGTTCATTGGCTACGGAGTCGCGAAGGCTGGTACCCAACAACTTGTAAAGAGCCTGTCGGCCGAAGGTAGTGGATTACCCAAAAGAACTAGAGTTGTAGCACTTTTACCGTACGTATTTTATATATTAAACATCGTTATTATAATTTACATTATACTTATACTTTCAATTTTGTACTAGTTCAACCATTGATACAGTATCCAACCGTAATGATATGCCACGTGCTGACTTTTCTAATTTTATACCTCTTGAAATCTTAACACAGTAAGTTTATTTATTTGGGATTTTGTTTGTTTATAGTTCAAATGAATATTACCTGTTCTATACACTTTTTACTATTTAATGTAGACGTTTATTCGATTGGACGACTGGTGTTGTTCCCATAGATAATGGAAAATCGGTGGAAGTTATCGCAAAAAATGGTAAAACAACATTTAATGAAATTTAGATTCTCATATTAAGGAACATTTAGTCACGCCCTAAAAAGGATGAAAAAAAACAAAACATTGCTTTGATTTTTCTTGTTTGAAAATGTGATTTTTTTTTATTAAGCTTTCAATAATTAAAATGTAAAATATATTAATGTTTAGTGATTATTGATTATTGTTAAAAGTTGTTTTTTTATGCTCATTTTTACAATAACCAAATGATAAAATTATTCTCACTTCTGCAAGAACGAGTATTAAGTGATGTGGTAAAAAAAAAGAAATATCCGATGCTATCGTTATATTATAGTATATATAGCATATAAATTATACAATTTATAATATGTATTTATGGGGTTTTACCTTGTAAATGATATAGTTGTCCGGAGCGTAGCGAATGACCTTTAATTTCTCTAATCATCACTGCATTAGTCACGCATTTTCTAATAAAGTACTTTTGAATTTTTCATTTGTTTACTCTTATAATTTATTAATATTTTTATAGTTTTCTATTATATATTTTTTACTAATTATAACTAGTTTTCACCCTAGGTGATATCACTTTATATTATAAAATTTTTGTAAAATTATTATTATTATTTTTTTTGTGTTAAAGTTCCTGTTTTTAGAGAATGATTTTTATTCAAGTTTATTGGACACAGAAACTTTCAAGAGCTTCTTTACATAGGAGGTTACAACTTATTAACTACATTTATACTTATAATAAAACATCTTTAATAAAAATTTAAAAATTTTAAATTAAGAATAAAATTTATCAAAGATCTTATTTTTTTTTTTTTTTTTTTTCGGTATTAAGGTGACCTCTTTGGTCCGAGCTTTTCATTAATACTTATAGCAGGTACATGTTTTATATAGACGTATCTATAATGAACTATTCGACGAGTGTACAACTGGCTACACGTGTAACTTTTCTATATTACCTATTTAAGAAGTCCGCCCAAGGGTTCCTCATCAGTTGCCGTACCTAACACCCCTGCTTAGATGTTCCATTTAAACCCTCTGATCTAACCCTAGTATTAATTTCACCAGATCACAGAC